AAAGACTTTAATGGAGAAAGTACAGATTCAATAAACTATTTTTCTTGTTCTTAGAGGGTGACCTGCTGGGATCCCATCTTGGGCAGCAGGCGTGGGCCACTCAGAGGGGCTGCAGTGGGCTCCCTGTGGCCTCTGCCTGCCAGTGCGGGAAGATTCGGTGACAGCTGTCGTCAGGATCATCTAAACTGCCTCTCCCTGCCCCCGCCCCACCCCGACACAGGGCACAGCAGGAAGCAGCCCCAGCAGCCCCTCGCAGCCAGCGCAGGGACCAGACCCGTCATAGAGGCTGCAGGGCTTCTAATTCTGCTGCTCAGCACTGGCCCCAGAGAAAGGTCTAGAAACCCAGGGGTTGGAAAGTGGATGGGCCTGATGGTCTCCGAGGCACTGAGCCCACCTTGGACCTTGCCTCCTCTCCCAGGACTCCTGCTCGCTCCCGAGTTCCTTTTCCCAACTAAAGCCACCAGCTTGGCCCTAATACCAGGCTGCCGGCCCCAGGCTCTTATCCTCACCGGCATTCCCCTGGCCACCGGCCCTAACGAGGTGAGGAGGCCGGCCTCCCTCTCTACCAGCCGGCTGACCGTGCGCAGGGCCAGGGCAGGGCCCTGCCAGCCTCTCGGTGATAGCGGGGCTGGCTGGGCATCTTCAGCAGGGTTAGCAGCTCTGTGGCCTGGCTCCCATTCCCTCCTCACTGTGGTGAAGGTGGTGGCCCAGGGTCATTTTGATACCAAAAGAGAGGCCCTGGGGAAGAGGGTCCCTGCCAGTCAGTTGCAGATGCCCCCCTCACATGGCCAGGGGTCTGCGTGGGGTCCCCAAACCAGTGTCCTGGGCCGGTCCCAGGCACGGGGCCTCGTGCAGCTCCACGCTGCCCTCTGGTGTGCACTACGGCGAGGTGCAGCGTGTCCGCCTGGCACCCTGTGTGGACCTGCAGTTCGCGGCTCCACATTGCGCCTGGCTCCAAATGGCTGCCCACTGCCAGGTTCCTAAAACACTAGATTAAAAAAAAAAAAAAATATATATATATATATATATATATATATGTGTGTGTGTGTGTGTGTGTGTGTGTGTGTGTGTGTGTATTTGATATATATTTATATAAACATATATAAAACATAAATATATTTAATTTTTTTTTTGAGACAGAGTCTCATTCCGTTGCCCAGGCTGGTGGTGCAATGGTGCGATCTCAGCTCATTGCAACCTCCACCTCCCAGGTTCAAGCAATTCTCCTGTCTCAGCCTCCTGAGTAGCTGGGATTACAAGTGCCTGCTACCACGCCCGGCTAAATTTTGTATTTTTAGTAGAGACGGGGTTTCAATCATATTGGTCATGCTGGTCTTGAACTGCCGACCTTAGGTGATCTTCCCGCCTCGGCCTCCCAAGGTGCTGGGATTACAGGTGTGAGCCACCGCCCCTGGTCTGTTTTTGTGTTTTAAAAGCATTTTATTTTGACATAATTATAGATCCAAAGGAAGCCGTAAAAATAGCAGAGTCTCGTGTACCTGCACCAGCTTTTCCCACTGCCGCATGGCAGCAAAGCCTGAAAACTGACATTGACTTGTTACTATTAATATATCAGCTACACTTTGTACAGTATTCAGTTGTTACTTTTTAAAGTGAAATTCACATAAAGTTAACTATTTAAAGTGTATAATTCAGTGGCATGTAGCACATTCACAGTGTTATGCAACCATTGCCACCGTCTAGTTTTAAAACATTGTCGTCACCTACAAAGGAGAAAACATGGCCACTCAGCAGGCACTCCTCATTGCCTCCTGTGCCCAGGCCCTGGCAACCACAGACCCACTTTCTGCCACTGTGGCTACATGTCTTGTGGATATCTTACATCAGGGTTACCAGAAAGGGGTCCTAATCCAGACCCCAAGAGAAGGAAGAATTCAGGTCAAGTCCATCAAGTGAAAGCAAGTTTATTAAGAACACAAACAAAACAATTGGCCGGGCAAGGTGGCTCATGCCTCTAATCCCAGCACTTTGGGAGGCTGAGGCAGGCAGATCACCTGAGGTCAGGAGTTTGAGACCAGCCTGGCCAACATGGTGAATCCCACCTCTACTAAAAATATAAAAATTAGCGGGGCTGGCCAGGCGTGATGGCTCATGCCTGTAATCACAGCTACTTGGGAGGCTGAGGCAGAAGAATTGTTTGAACCTGGGAGGCAGAGGTTGCAGTGAGTCAAGATCACACCATTGCACTCCAGCCTGGGTGACAGAGCAAGACTCCATCAAAAAAAAAAAAAATTAGCTGGGCATGGTGGTGCGTGCCTGTAATACCAGCCACTCAGGAGGCTGAGGCAGGAGAATGGCTTGTACCCAGGAGGTGGAGGTTGCAGTGAGCTGAGATTGTGTCATCGCACTCCAGCCTGGGCGACAGAACAAGACTCAAAAAAAATGAAAAAAGAAGAAAAAAAGGCTACTCCATAGGCAGAGCAGCAGGGTGGGCTGCCAGATTGAGTATACTTAGAGTTACTTCTTGTTTATATGCTAAACAAGGGGTGGACTATTCGAGTTTTCTAGGAAAGGGATGAAGATTTCCGGGAACTAAGGGTCCTTCCCCTTTTTAGACTATATAGGGTAATTTCCTGATGTTGCCATGGCATTAGAAAACTCACTGTGCTGGTGGGAGTGCCTTTTAGCATGCTAATACATTATAATTAATGCATAATGAGCAGCAAGGATGAGTAGAGATCACTGTGGTTGCTGTCTTGGTTTTGGTGGGTTTTGGTCAGTTTCTCTACAGCATCCTATTTTAACAGGAGTGTCTTTGTGACCTGTATCTTGAACCTGCATCTTGTGCAGCCCTCCTATCTCATCCGGAGACGAAGAATGCCTATCCTTCTGGGAATGCAGCCCAGTAGGTCTCAGCCTCGTTTTACCCAGCCGCCATTCAAGATGGAGTTGCTCTAGTTCCAACGCCTCTGACATATGAAGTCATGCAACATGTGACCTAGGGTTTGCATTCTCTCACTTAGTATAATGTTTCTAAGGTTCATCATCTTTTCTGTAAATCTGAAACTATTCTAAAAATAGTTTTATGTTTATCATAAAAGCAGTTGAGAGCTGGTGAGCTCTGCACCTTTCCCAGCTGCCTCCTGGAATCCCCTCAGGAGGCCGCTTCTCCTTGGGCTGGGGTCCTGCCCTCGGAGTCACGAAGATGAACTGGACAGCCCTCCAAGCCACACTCCCCGTCCTAAGCCCGGCGCAGCTGCACAGGCTGCGGGAGTAGCATCAGGTGGCCTGGGTGGTGGCCCCATCAATGCCTGAGAGCTGGGAGCCAGGACAGCACCGACGTCTTCAGGTCAGTGAAGCCCCGCCTCAGGGCAGGAGGGGAGCTCGGGACTCTGTGGGAGACTCATTTTAAGGCTAGGGGCGGCCCCGCGCTCTCTGAACTTCAGGATGGGCCCAGCAGCGCCCTCATACCCCATGCTGCAGGCGGGGTCGTGCAGCGCACGGGGAAGCGATCCCGAGACCCGCGCACATACATGCACGTGCACACGCACACCTCGGTGTGCACAGTTCTACACGTGCGCTGCTGTTTCCACGTGGAAACACAAACACAGCCAACGGAAGCGCCTGCCTTTCCTGCGGCCCCGGCTCAGCGGCCCCGGGCTATTCTGGGGCCAGCCCGCCCGGCCGCGGGGGACACCATCCGCTCTGGAGCTCAGAACGCGACCCCAGGCTGAGGGGCAGGCCAGCCCTTCCCGGGCTGGAACCTGGCGGTGAGGACCCAGCGGGTTCGGCCCGGGCGTCTGGGGAGCTCCAGAGCCCGCACGGCGTCCCCTGCTCCGCCCCCTGCGTCACCCGCCCCCTCCGTAGTCCAGAAGCCGGGCTAGGGGCAGGATCCTCCGGCTGTCTCCAGCCGGTGGTTTTTGGCCGCGAAGCCGTGGGGAATCTGGGGTCGGGGTAGAGATCCCAGGGAGGTGGGCGGGGCCAGAGCCGGGAGTGGATCTGGGGGCGGGACGAGAGGCTCGCGGGGCAATGGCGCCCCCTGGTGGTTGAGCTCGTCCTAGGCGCCAGGCAGAACGCCGGACAAAGCTGTGCCTCGATGGCCCGGCGGATAGGAGGAGTGCAGGGCCCGCGAAGGTGGCGGGGTCGGTGCCGCACGCTCAGGTGCTCCCCTTCGCGCGTAGCCAGTGCGCTGAGCATAGCCCTCGTGCAGGTGGCTCCCCGGACCTTCCTCTCCGAATGGCCGGTGGCTGCAGCCTGCACAGGCCACAGCACCTGCAGCCCTCCCTGGCCCTTTTCTCATGAGCCTCAAAAGGGGCACTGACCAAGCGCACCGCGCAACAGAGTGACCACCCCGGGAACTCGCGCCACTGCCTTCTGGACTGTGCACAAATGCCGTTTTCTGCAGCAGCTGGCAGCAGCCTGGCCTGGCAGAGCCCCCAGGACTGGCAGTAGCTGCAGGGGCTCCCATCCCTGGCCCTCTCCCCAGGGTGCAGGGCACTGTTCATAGAGACACTTGTTAAAGGAGATTTATTTTTACTGCAGCTTTTCCTGCCGCTAAACTGCCCAAGAACAAAGACTAGGACACAGACCTAGCAGCCTCCACCCAGCCCAGCCACAAGGCCTCAGCCTCCCATCAGAGCCGCTCCACAGCTCCCCTCAGCTCAGCTCAGCATGGCCGAGGAGCAAAGGGCTCGGAGACAAAGCCCAGAGGATGAACAGGGGCCAGCCCTGAGTGAGTGTCTCTGAGGGCGCCAAGCCCAGCCTGGGTCCTGCCTCTCTCCCAGGACTCTCATGCCCTCCCGTGCTGCTGGCCGGGCTCTGAGCCAGGTTCCTCATCTTTGACAGCAACAGCGAGGTCCTGGGGAAGAGGGTCCCAGCCGTGAGCTGCAGATACTCCCCTCCCAGGGACAGGGTCTTCGTGGAGGGGCCAAGCTCCAGAGCACCCAGCCAGGGTGGCTTTAGCTCAGCAGGGCCCACCCCAGCCCAGCCAGCTGCACCCACCCAGGACCTGAGCTGCTGAGGCCATTTCACGACACCCGAGTTCCTCTCCATCACGAAAGCTGACAGCTTGGCCCTAACAGCAAGCTGGTGGCCCCAGGTTCTTAATCTGCGCCAGCATCCCTGGTCCCTGTCCCTTCACCCTGGCAGGAGGCCAGCCTCCCTCTCCACCAGCCGGCTGACTGTGCGCAGAGCCAGGGGCAGGGCTGTGTTGGCGTCGCGGTGATAGCGGGGGCTGCACATCTCCACGCTGGGCGTGAACACGAACTGGGCCACACTGGGCATCTTCAGCAGGGTCAGCAGCTCCGTGGCCCGGGTGCGGATGGCTTCCATGCCCTCCTCACTGTGCGTGGAGCTGCTGTCCGGGCTCTGAGCCAGGTTCCTCATCTTTGACAGCAACAGCGAGGTCCTAGGGAAGAGGGTCCCAGCCGTGAGCTGCAGATACTCCCCTCCCAGACACAGGGTCTGTGTGGAGGGGCCAAGCTCCAGAGCACCCAGCCAGGGTGGCTTTAGCTCAGCAGGGCCCACCCCAGCCCAGCCAGCTGCGCCCACCCAGGACCTGAGCTGCTGAGGCCATTTCACGACACCCGGACAGAAAGACCTCAGAAGCCTCAGCTCTTCCTTCCCCAGGAAGGCCAGAAGGCTTCTCTGCCTCCCCACCCAGGCACCTGGGGATCAGGTCTTGGCTCCGGGAGGCCAGCTTCGTCAGCGTTGTCATCAGCACAGTGACCACCTGTGGGGGACAGCTGGGCAGGGTGGCAGAGGGGCGGCACTGGGTGACCTCGAACAGCAGGGCCTCCAGGGCTTCAAAGAACTTGTTGATCTGCTCCACGGTGCACCTCCGATCGTAGGTCACTGACAGGTACTCGCCGATGGCCCACACCTAGGCCCAGGGACACAGGCTCAGCCCCCACCCAGGCCTCCTGGGTCAGGAGTGGTGGAGGGAAGCCAGCGCCTGCCTTACCACGCTGGTGACAAGGCTCGCCCGGCTGCAGAGGCCATTCACGCTGCCCAGGAACTCCAGCAGGTCTCTCGCCAGCTCCACCACCAGGGAGGGCTTCAGCTTACACAGGGCCAGGAACTGGGAGCTCAGCACCCTGCCCGAGAGCCGGGTCCATGCTTGCTCTGTGCAGACCCCTGACCCTGTCCCCACCCCCTACCCCATCCAGGCCGAGGGCCCAGAGGAAGCCAGGAAGTGTCAGTGGCAGGTGCAGGCTGCACCCTCAGATAGGGACGTAACAGATGATTGCCACCCCTAGAGGAACTGTTCACCTCACTGGGGAGACAGCTGGGACCTGCACTGGCCTCGGGGCCCCAGCTGAGAGTAGAACCAGGACGGGCCTTTGGAGAGAAGGACCCGGGGGACGGGTTGTGGAAGAGGGACTTGAGCCAGCCCCGAAGATGACAGGTTCGGCGGAGGGAAGGACGGACAGAGAGGAAGCGCCCAGGACTGGCCATGGGGCCAGAGGCGGGGGTGGCAGGGTCTGAGGCTGCAGAGGGCCCAGCTGGGGCGGAGCTGCAACCGCTGAAGGGAAGGGAGAGGGGAGGGGTCCAGGAGGTGCCTGCCCAGGGATGCCGCGGGGGCGCAGGAGGGACCCACCTGTACACACAGGCCGCATACCCTGGTGCAGGGTAGAGAGAGTCGCTCCTGCCCAGGAGCAGCAGTGCCAGCTGGTTGGTCAGAGCCCCATCAGCCACCTGGGGGTCAGGATCAGAGACGGGCTCAGCTTCACCCCCACTGCAGGCCCAAGTGGGGGTGGGGGTGAGCCCATGGTGAGGGCTGGGAGCAGCTGAGAGGCTGGAAACTTCTCGTCCACTGCCTTCTCCAACACCCAGGGATACACAGACTGAGCTGGCAGCATCTGGGCACTGGGAGGGAAGCCCTGGGGCAGGCCCAGGAGCCCTTGGAGAAGTGTCGCTTCTGCTCCATGGCTCCTCTGCCATCACCTACTCTGCAAGGCTGGGGGCATGTCCTGCTTGGCCAAAGGTGCGCCCAGGGGATGCCCAGCCCTGCCCCCAGTCCCCTGCCAGCCTGCCCTTCTTGGCTCTCCTGTGCTGGCGTCTCACTTGTAGCGCTCCCAGAGGTGGGAACCAGCGACCAGGTGTGGGTAGGGGGAGCCACCAGCCTTTGGGAGCCTTTATTTTGGCCTCGGACGCAGATGTTAAAAGTATCAGGGCACAGGGGGACAAACTGCTCTGCCCCAGCTGTGCTGCCAGTGCCAGGGTTGCTCACTTTCCCCCTGATGGGAGACGGGGCCTGCCGGAACGAGGTGGAAGGGACCTGCTGGGATGGGGAGACAGGGCCTGCTGGGACGGGAGTGGGGATATGACCTGCCAGCACGGGGGACGGGGCCTGCCAGGGCTGTAGCATGTGGCTGTGGATGGCGGGTGTGGTGGGATAAGCCTTCTGCAGAGCTCAGGGGGACCCTGCTGGCTGGCTCTGGCTTGCCCCTTGGTTGTGGGAATGGGGGGCTCCAGGCAGCGGGCTCACCTGGGTCACCGCTGAGAAGAACACCTGCAGCAGTGTGGGCACGGCCTCAGCACATTGGGCCACGCGGGCGCAGCTGGCCATGGGCTGCAGCAGCTGGTGGAGCGGTGCCAACCTGGGGACACAGTGTGGCCATGAGAGCCACCTGCTCCCTTACCTGGTGACTGCCGGCCAGGGCCAGGCATCGGGGCCACGTCATCACTACCCCCTCTCATGCGGCTGTGCCCGCTCCCATCCTCGCTTCTCGCCTCTCAGGACCACCTGCTCTCCTGGGTTCAGGGAGACTCCCCGGTGTCGGCATACCGGGGACAGTGGAGCCGTTGAGGCAAAGGCTGGCGTGGGCCAAGGGCAGGAGGTCTGTGGGCCAGTCCTGGGCCTCCTGCTTCCTGGGCTCAGCCTCGGTTTCTCCATCTGCAAAATGGAGCACCCACAGGGCCGACCCCCAGGTTTCTAAGGGTTGATCCGGGCAGCAGAGAGAGCTGAGCCCTAGGCCCCCACCCAGCAGACCATGCTGCAGGAGGGCCTCTGTGACGGTCATGACAGCCGCTCCCTGGGGTGGGAACACAGCCTTGTCTGGGGCATAAAGCACCCTAGCCTCAGCCCAGGGTCCAGCAGCAAGCCCCATCCTGGAGGCTCCCCAGCCTGAGGGCTCCTACCTCTCAATGGTGCCACTGGCCTTGGGGCGCAGCAGGTATTGGAAAAGACCCTGGAACTTTGGGTCCCGGAAGGCCTCCAGGCAGCTGGGGACCCGGAGAGAGGTGTCCCAGAGTGGCCTCTCGGATGGAGCTGGCGATGACCTGCGTGGACAGACGCCCAAGGCTGGGCTGGGATTTGGCACAGGCCACGGGCACATCCCTTGCTGGGAGACACACAGCAGGTGTCTGTAACATCACAGCGCCTGGATGCTGGGAAGGGCTTGGGGGCACGGGAAGGCTCCAGGCCTGGGCGTGAAGATGGGTGAGGAACTCCAGGGCGGGTGGCCAAGGGTGACAGACTCGCCCTGTCCTGAAGGTGGCTTTGGCTTTGTAGGGCAGGACCGGCTGGGTGTTGGGGTGGGGAGGAGGGTCCCCAATGTAGGGGTCAGGAGCGGTGAGGAGAGGCCCAATGTGCACGACCAGCTGGCTGGGTGAGGCGGTGCTGGCAGAGGGTGAGGGACGCACCTGAGCTGCAGGTCCAGCGCCGCAGTCAGGCACGGCAGGTCCAGCAGCGCGTGCAGCATCTCCAGCGCCGTGCCGGCGTCCGCCAGGGCCGGGAGGAGCTCCACGAACTCAGAGGTGAGGGGTGGGCTGTTCCAGGCCAGGAACTGTAGGCACAGCACAGTGGTTTGGACAGAGCTCAGAGCTGTGGGGCAGGTGTGACGCTGCACGGACACCCTGGGCCCTCACCTCGTGCTGCACCCCACATTCCAGGCCCAGGATCCACAGGGCTCTATGCTCAGCCAGGACTTGCCCTGAACCCCGCTGGAAAGAGGGGAGGAGCCCAACCCCCGACCTGGCACCCAGGGATGCCCAAATGTGCCTTAAAGAGGTTGGGGAAGCTCAATCTGAGGGTACTGAGGTGCCCAGCAAACAGGTGGAGGTTGTCCCTGCAGAACTGGATGAACTCGAAGGCCAGCATGGGGCTGTGGAACTGCTCAGACGGGATCCTGGTGAACAGGTGCCGGCAGACTGCTTCCGAGTCCACCGCAGCCACCTCCCCTGCAAGACCAGGGCCCGTCAGGGTGCACGCCTGCTGGACGCACATGTCCTGACCTAGACCTTGTCCTGCAGTGCTGCTCTGTGGCTGGCTGGGGCCCCTGAGTCTCAGGCCTGCTCTCCAGGACACCAAGGGCTGTCCTATGTCCTACACCGGGACTCGGTCTCCCTCTCCCAGCAACACGGCCAGCTCGTGAGTCACACAAACCACGGCACATTTTCTGGAAGGTGCTAGTTCCTAGACTTTTGAATTTCATGGGCTAGGGACACAGCAAAGAGTTTCTGTTTATTTTTCTATTCAAAAGTTTGTAAATTAGGATCCATAAAAAAGAAACATGACGGCCAGGCACGGTGACTCACTCCCGTAATCCCAGCACTTTGGGAAGCCGAGGCAGGTGGATCACGAGATCATGAGATTGAGACCATCCCGGCCAACATGGTGGTGAAACCCGTCTCTACTAAAAATACAAAAATTAGCTGGGCGTGGTGGCGCTTGCCTATAGTCCCAGCTACTCAGATGGCTGAGGCAGGAGAACTGCTTGAACCTGGGAGGTGGAGGTTGCAGTGAGCCGAGATCGCGCCACTGCACTACTGCCTGGTGCCTGGCGACAAAGTGAGACTCTGTCTAAAAAACAAGAACAACAAAAAAAAGAAATATGAGCTGGGTGCAGTGGCTCATGCCCTAATCCCAGCACTTTGGGAGGCCAAGGCAGGAGGACTGCTTGAGGCCAGGAGTTTAAGACCAGCCTGGCCAACATAGGAAGACCCGTCTCTATTCAATTAAAAAAAAAGGGAAGAAGAAATCCTGTCCTAAAATGAAAGGCAGGGGCAGAGCCCTGAGAGCTGTCGCCACCCCCTCTGGGCTCACCATGGCTCAGGAAGAAGCGGGCGAGAGGCAGCAGCACCCGCACAGAGGCGGGGTCCCCCTGCAGCCGCCCGTGCAGGGCCTTCAGGCAGGAGAGGCTGCGGTACAGGAAGGACGGGTCCTGCCGGCACAGCACGTCCAGCACCAGCACGGCCTCCACCAGGCACTGTGGGACACGGGCCGCGTCAGACGGGCTGAGTTATCGCCTCCCGCGCACCCCCGGTTTCCCCATCCGCAGCCACTTACAGCTTTCTGCAGGTCAGAGTCCCCCTTCCTCAGGGCTCCTGGAAGGATGGGAATAGGTCAGCCGGCTCTGCCTCAGCCTCGGAGCAGCCCAATGAGGGGCGGCGTGTGGCCTGGAAGTTCCAGGCAGGACTGGGAACAGAGGGGCAGACAGGCCCCCAGGAGGACTCGAGTGGGACTGAGGCTGAGGGGCCCAGGCGGGACAGGGCCAGGCTGGGGGCTAGGGTTGGAGCCTGAAGAGCACTTGGGGCTGACCCCAGAAACAAAACGCCCCTGCTCCAAACTGGCTCCCCAGGGCCCACCCTCTGAAGCAGCAGCTTGAGGAGAATCTGCGGGCCTTGGGTCACCTTGCATGGCAGGTGGGTGGAGCCGGGGGGCCTGTGCCTGGGTGGGGGACTCACGCCGGTTACTCTGCTCAATGAGGCGCTGGCAGTACTCGAAGGCCACCTCCCGAAGCCGCTCCCGGGGCGGCAGCAGGCGGCCAGCAGAGGAGGTGGCGGAGATCACCGACAGCATGGAGCCTTCCTGCTCTGACCCGTCATCTGTGAGAGGAGGGATGCTCAGCAGGCTGCCACGTGGCTCCTGGGCTGGGACATGCCCACTGCCCCTGCTTGGAAGGGCAAGAAGGGAGCACAGGCCCTGGCCCCTCCCAGGGGTGTGCGGTGTCGCCATCTTGGGACGTCCACACGCCTGGCAGCTTCCCTATCACGGCCGCCCTTCAGGGGGAGCTGAGGCTTCTTCCCCAGCAAGTCCACAGAGCAGCTGGGAGGAGCACTGGTGTCACTCCCACTCCAACAGTCTTAAGGGCGCCTGCCTTAAATGGCGACTCTGCTTCTCTTGCACATTGCGTGATGGTCACGAGGCGTCCACAGAGGACCCCCGGTGCTGACCCTGGACCCCAACCACGCTGGCCAGGAGTGTTCTTTGCCCAGCCCTGACCTCTGCTGCATTCTGGGCACACCTGTGTCCCCCGACCTCTGCCTGTGTCCCCTGAGACCGACCCACAGTGTGCCCACCTCCCACCCGTCTGACGCTGCCCCATCCCCAGCACACCTGTGTCCAGGGCACCTGGGCCCTCAGGGCCGCTGTGCAGCAGCCACGCCCGCAGCATGGAGAAGCCCTGCACGTTCAGCCACTGGTCCTCCGTGAAGCGGTGGCCAGTAGACAGCACTGTGAAGAAGTCTGTGGCCACCGCCCCGTCCACCTCGGTGATGGGGCCCGGCTGTAGGAGGGACAGGCGGGGGGTGGGTGGAGAGGCTGAGGCCGGGAAAATGCTGACATGAACACAAGCTCCTCAGGAGGGTGGAGGGGAAGCTGCCTGAACGTGAGCCGGGGCAGCGGCCCGCCCTGTGTGACGCCAAAACACCATCCCCACCTGACCCCCAGGCAGACGTGCGTTCCACATCCTCCTGTAGGCCCCAGGAGTGAACCCACACACAGACCCCCAGAGCCACACAGGTCGGGGGACTGCGGCCCTGTATGACCCAAGCCTCACAGCAGAGGCAGGCTTGTCCTGGACCCCGTGCAAGGACAGCAGATATGGATGGGGACCTGCTGGGCAGGGCTGGCCACAGTGGGCACAGGAGCTCCCGGGGAGGCACTGTCTGTGACTCTGTTCCCCATGGTCCCAGAACAGCCCCGCCCTCACCTGCCGGGCCCTGGGCGTGGAGAAGAAGCTGCCAGAGTGCGGGAACCCTTGCTGGAGGCTGGCATAGCGCAGCCAGTCAACCAGCCGCTTGCTGAGCAGGGTGGTCTGGTCTGCAGTGGGCGGGGTGGCATGGGGAGAGGAGGTTAAGTCCTACGGATGTCGGGATGCTGGCCAATTTTTCTCAGAAAACAGAATCGGGCAGCGTCCCAGGCCCTTCGGCCTCCCTGTTCCCCCACCCACCCCCCATGCCCCCAACCCACCACAGGCCTTACAGGGAAGGACCTGGGAGGGCAGACCCCGAACAGCCTCTAGGGAGGGGCCCCACGTACCCTCCTGGAGGGTGCCTGGGCTGAGGACCACGACCTTGGCCATGACAGGGAGGAGGTGTCTGAAGCTGGGCCCCTCTGGCTGCCGGCTCTCCAGGGCCCGCAGCACGCCCTGGCCCACGGCTCGGACCTCCTCATTTCTGTCACCCTTCAAATCAAACGTGGGGCAAACGCTGGGGTACTGGCCCATGTCACCTGCCAAAGACCAGCTCCGCCCATTTCGGAAGTCTGTGTGACACTCCTGAGAAGTGTCGGTCCCTGAGACCCCAGGCTCAAGGGGTGGCAAGGTGTACGTCGTGCCCAGGCCCACCCAGGGCAGCAAGGTGGTGCCTGCTGCGCCTTCAGCCTCTTTCCCTGCGAGCTGCATCCCTGAGGCTGGAGGAGGCCTGGGGGGGCATGGCTAATTCAATGCTGAAAACACAGTGGTGGCCACCATGGGCGTGGCTGCAGCCACAGGACACCCCATCCTGCGGGGCCTCCAGTGTGGAGTCTCGTCTTTAAACCGCCCACCTCACTCTGCACAGCCAGATGTTGAAACGTCTGAGCAGCACCAGGCGTACCCGGCACACGGGCCAGGTGGTCAGGGACAGGAGGAGGGCGCTGGGTGGCCGGGAGGCCACGTGCCTGGTGGGAGGTACACCGCTGGGTGGCCAGGAGGCCATGTGCCTGGTGGGAGGTACACCGCTGGGTGGCCGGGAGGCCACGTGCCTGGTGGGAGGTACACCGCTGGCCCCTGGTGGCAGTTCTGCAAGATCATCTTCCACCAAAAAAAATGAGAGTTGCTTGAGGAAAAGGGGCTGCTTCCAGGCTAGGGCAGGAAATGAATAAGAAGAGCCAGAGCCATCTTGTCGCAAAGGTGAGGAGCCACCACAGCATTACTGGGGTCATCTTGGGGGCCTGGAGGTGGCCTGCAGGGGCTCCGTGAGGTGAGGGAGCTGGGCACCATGAGGATGACCCCAATGACGGAGCACAAGGGCTGGTACGCCGGTGCCCATGAGCTCTCACCCACACAGCAACCACAGGCTCCGTGGTACCCTTCCTGCAGACTCCACACCCCTGGGCAACCCACGAGCAGAGGCAGCAGCTTCCCTTACACAAAGGCAGCCTGTGAACCCCCGGATCCCCATGCTGAGTGTCCAGGCCTGCTCCTGACACAGAGGGAGGGAGGACATGGACTTAGGAAAAACTCCTGGCCGAGGAGGGTGGATTGCCTGAGCTCAGGAGTTCGAGACCAGCCTGGGCAACATAGTGAGACCCCAAGTCCCTACAAAAAACACAAAACTTAGCTGGGTGTGGAGACGCATGCCTGTAATCCTAGCTACTCAGGAGGCTGAGGAGGGAGGATTGCTTAAGCCAGGGAGGTCAAGGCTGCAGTGACCTATGATCACGCCATGGCACTCCAGCCTGGGCAGCAGAGTGAGACACTGTTTCTAAAAAAACCACCACCACCACAACCACCACCACCACCAAAACCAAAAAAGGTCTGGAGGCCTGGCCTTCCCTGATGCGCTGCCTCAAGGCCGTGCCTAAGAAATCAAACTGCGTCACCTCTACTGTGCCCCTCTTACAGCACAAATCCATGTCTGATAACTCCTGGAAGGGGGCCCGGGGAACTGAACCTGCTGCTCTATCCAGGTCACCCATGCCACCCTACGTGGGTCTTGGAATGCCACCAGAGCAGCCCTGGCTCCGCAACCTCACTGAGTCGTCAACAGGGCCTCGGGATGACGGCTTCCCCAGGAACAGGGGACACAGGAGGCAGGTCTCTGGTTGTTCTAGGCATATCTCGGTGCTGAGTGTCTGGCACACCTGAGGCCGTGACTGGCACAGGAACCTAAGTCTACCAGGCCTACATGGCACATTGGTGCACGTGAGAGGACACTGGCCGGCCTGCTGGGTGCACCTGAGACCCAAGGAACCCTGGGGCTGGATGGCCCACTGGGGTGGTAACTGCCACGTTACCTGGGCCAAGAGCACGGAGGCCACCAGGCTCAGCTGCCGGCTGTTCTGGGTGTGATCCCAGGCCAGGCTCAGGCTGTCACAGGGGGACATCTCTCGCAGGATGGCGGTGCAGAGCACCTGGAGCTGCTCGGGGCACGCAGGCAGGCTGAGGGTAGCCTGCAGCAGGTCTATGCACATCTTCTCCAGCCTGCAAGGCCAGATGCCCACAGCGGGCGGTGACATGTCATGCCCGTGGCAGGGGCATCTGGTGCCCCAGAGGACCTGGCCAGGCATCCTCGGGCAGGGGGACAGAGTGTTTTATGTGAGGATGGACCTTCAGCACCAGCTTCAGTGGACAAATGACTCAACTCCCCCACCCCCAACCAAGGAGCATCTGCGCTGACCTGCTCTGGGCATGTGGCGGGTTCTCCTGGAGCTGTTGCGTTGGAAGCTGGCCTGAGCCATGGCCACACTCACCTCCGGTGGTACTTTGTGGCTGAGATGATGAGGAAGAGCCTCTGCAGGGAGTCGACGGTGTCCGGCCCCAAGTCCTCCGTCTGCAGTAATTTACTGATCCGGGAACAGAACTTCTTCAGCTCCTCTTCCTGGATCTCCCTAAACAGTGAAGAGGACTTCAGGACCCAGAAGCACTCACTGCTCTGAACCAAAAAAAGAATAACTCTTGGAGTGGGGAAAAATCCCTCTTTAGAAAAGAGAAGCCGAGGCCAGGCGCGGTGGCTCACATGTCTAATCCCAGCACTTTGAGAGGCCGAGGCGGGCGGATCACGAGGTCAAGAGATAAGACCTGGCTAACACTGTGAAACCCCGTCTCTTTCTAAAAATACAAAAAATTAGCTGGGTGTGGTGGCACATGCCTGTAGTCCCAGCTCCTCAGGAGGCTAAGGCAGAGGAATCGCTTGAACCTGGGAGGCGGAAGTTACAGTGAGCCGAGACTGAGCCACAGCACTCCAGCCTGGATACAAAGCAAGACTTCATCTCCAAAAAAAAAAAAAAAAAAAAAGGAGAGAAGCAGTGTCTGGGAGGAACACAGTTCCACCACTCAACACCTCTTGAGACAAATTCACAGATTCGCCAACCTGGCCCCTCTCATCCTACGATTTCTCAATCCATTGCTGTGACTTACTATGACAAATCTCACTCACGGAGACTCAGGTACTTAGATTTTGTTATTCCAGGAGCAGAAGGACTAAAACCGGTTCTTTTTAGGAGTAAAAAGATTGAAGACATCTTTTGAAAAGCAACTTATTCTAGACTAAATTTCCTACTCTTGAGAGCCTTTCGCTTATGGGAACGAGAATAAAATCTCATAAAGAACAAGTGTTATGACATATTGTAAGGTAAGCCTGTTATAATTTTTACTAGAATAGGTAACTGGCTTAATTTAAAACTCTCTCTAGTAAGCCACAGGTAAGATACTGAATAAATTCCCAATGGAAACCTGTTTTTTTTTTTTTTTCTTTCCTTTTTTGGAGTGTGATGTTTGAGGGCAGGAAGCACCCAGCATGGCCAAATGGAAACCTGTTTTTAGGTTTCTATTCCAGCCTAAAAGAAAGAGGCGATAATGTGCAAAGGGTCTGCTGTGTCAGGGGACTCTGGGGGCTCCCTGAGAAGTCCCCTAAGCGGCTGTGCCCTCTACAGGTCACCTGTAATCCCAGCACTTTGGGAGGCTGAGGTGGGAGGATCACTTGAGCCCAGAAGTCTGAGACCAGCCTGGGCAACACAGTGAGACCCCTTCTCTGCAAAAGAATTAAAAAAAAAATTCGCTAGGCATGGTGTAGTCCTGGCTACCTGAGAGGCTGGGGTGGGAGAACTGCTTGAGCTAGAAGATCAGGCTGCAGTGAGCTGAGATTGCACCACTGCACTCCAGCCTGGCCGACAGCGTGAGAACCTATCTCAANAAAAAAAAAAAAAAAAAAAAAAAAAAAAAAAAAAAAAAAAAAAATATATATATATATATATATATGTATACAATGGAGAATCTTTCCCAGAAAGGTGGAAATCCTCATCCTGATTTAATTCCCTTCAGCATATTCTCCAAATCCCAAGCTTCCTTCTGAAAAGCCAGCTCACCCAAACCCTTCAATAGTTCCTCAGCTTTCAAATCCAAACCCCTACAGACCCTAATGCTGCCTGGAAGACCCCTGCCCCGGCTTCCTTCTCCAGCCTCTATGTCCTATTTCTCTTGCTCCTGCCCCTTCACACGGACCCTCTGCCTGAAACACACCTCAGCTTCCGGTCAGCGGCTCCTGAGCTTCCGGTCAGCGGCTCTACCGCCTGGAAATCCTGACCTTGCTGGGCATCCCTCCATGCCTCAATCCTTGACTCGCTTCCTGCTTTCTCCATGTATCCTTCAGCTTACAGAGCTATCTTTGATAACTTTTTCCACCCTTGCTTCCCGTATCTCTGACATATTTAGAGAGAAACTAAAGTTCACTCTAAATCTTTTTGGCTTTCTTTGGAGACAGGGCTTCCCTATGTGACCTGAGCTGGAGTGCAGTGGCACAATCATAGCTCACTGCAGCCTCAATCTTCTTGGCTCAAGTGGGATGATACTGCCTCCTGCCTCAGGCTCCCAAGTAGCTGGGACTATGGGTGCATGCCACCACACTTGGCTAAGTTTAAAAAAAAATTCTGTTTTGTAGAGATGGGTCTTGCTATGTTGCCTAGGCTGGACTTGAAGTCCTAGCCTCAAGCAATCCTCCTAACTCAGTCTCCCAAAGTGCTGGGATTACAGGCATGAGCCACTCACTGTGCCTGGCCCACTCCAAACCTTAACCCTCAAACTATAGCTGTTTATTTTAAAACATCACCAGAAATCACAGGGTTAAATTTATTATGAAAACTAGTAAGCCCTGATACATTATTAACCTTCTTTAAACCTTAACAGAGGGCAACTGTAGAACTCATGTATGTTACAGAGCGAAATTCAACCACACTCTATCCTCAAAAATGCCTGCCCACCCTAGCCAAGGAGGAAGAGAAACAGGGATTTAAATAGTGAGGGCTCGGCCGGGCTTAGTGGCTTGCACCTGTAATCCCAGCACTTTGAGAGGCCAAGGCGGGCAGATCACCTGAGGTCAGGAGTTCCAGACCAGCCTGGCCAATGTGGTAAAACCCCATCCCTACTAAAAATACAAAAACTTAGCTGTGGGTGGTGGCAGGCACCTGTAATCCCAGCTACTTGGGAGGCTGAGGCAAGAGAATTGCTTGAACCTGGGAAGCGTAGGTTGCAGTGAGCTGAGATTGTGCCACTGCACTCCAGCCTGGGTGACAGAGGGAGACTTTCTCAAATATAAATGAATAAATAAATAAATAAATAAATAACTAGTGTGGGCTGTTCCTTTTGTCTTTCATGTCACAAGTTTATGACTTTGAGTAGCATGTGACTTGGGAGTGGAGTTCTCAGTCGGTGTTTTTCCTTGTAAGGACTTTGGGATGAATATATTGCATGCTGAGTGAGATGCCAGCATTTTTCATTTTCATACAGTCCCTAAATTCAAATGACTTATCTTTCCAGGACTAAACGGAAGGTTGCCAGCGTTGAGCTACTGGGAGATGATACTGCATATTCACCAAGCACTTTCCTAATGAGTGGAATCTCCTTTTTTCTTTTTCTTTTTAAATAAGATGGGGTTTCACCATGATGGCCAGGCTGGTCTTGAACTCCTGACCTCAGGTGATCCACCCACCTCAGCCTCCCAAAGTGCTAGGATTACCGGCGTGAGTCACCGCGCCTCGCTATGAGTGGAATCTTAAGGGTTACTTTGATCAGAGATTTTTGTCCTGTTCGGACTTTAGAACTTAATTTGCCTTCAAGCCCTCACTCACTATAATCATAACTTCATCCATCCGAATCTTTCCCACCAATTGATCTAGCTCTGAATCCAGGTTTGCTTGTCTGTTTTGAGACAGAGTCTCGCTCTGTCGCCCAGGCTGGAGGGCAGTGGCGCCATCTTGGCCCACTGCAGCCTCCAGTTCCTGGGTTCAAGGAATTCTCCTGTCTCAGCCTCCCGCCTCACCAAGTTTGTTTGCATTTACCAAGGGGCTGTAGCTCTGGCTGCATTTTATTCTTTTAAGCATGTAGTATCAAGCTTTGCCTGTTTGGTGGACTATGAGTCTTTTCAGTCCTGGCCTATGTTTTCCCCCATAACTGGTTAGAGGTGAGGAAGGGGCAGTTAGTGGGAGTCCAGAGACAGCCTGGTACCAGCCTGGTGGGGGATTTCTTAGCCTAGCCAATACAACCGCGCAAGAGCGACCTTTCTAAGCTATAAAACGCTCCCACGGTTCCCCCAAGCCCTCGGATGGCGTCCAGCTCCGTGGCACACAGCCTTACTCCTAAGCAGCCCTCCGACCTCTCTGACTTTGTGTCCTTAACTGTGAGGCAACGAAAGCTCCTGGATGCCCGATTACCTGCCAGACGCGGGGTTCTCACCACCAAGCCTTTGACCAAACTGTCGCCTGGGCCCCGCCCCACTTGCTTTCACTCACCAAGACTCTGCTCAGGTGTCACCTTTTCCGGGGACCCACCGTGGCCCTCCCCGACCTCCTCACCCCAAGCCTGGCCGTCATGTTGCATTTCCCCGATCCCCAAGTCTCCAGGACGGGTCCAGTCGGGCTCCTGCAAGGCGGGCGCCCGGTCCCCTGCCCTGTGAGACCCACCCCCGGGAACCCCTAGGGAGAAGTGCGGGAAGGAGGGCCGGGGCTGCAGCTACCCCGCACCTGGCCTGGTGGAGCAAACTCTCCGCTCCTGCGGAGAACATCGCGCCGCCGCCGCCGCCTCCAAGCGGGCATGAATCACGGAGACTCCAAGGGCAGCACCCCAGCAGCCCCTCAGCCCGTAGCCCAGCAACCCGGCCGACTTCCGGGACCGTATCATGTGAGCGCACCCGGCTTCCGCGGTTGCGTCACGTGACGTATACGTAGCCGAACGGACCGGTTGCTGGCCAATGGGCTTTGGCGTGGAGCGCTTGGGGCGGGGCATAGGTGCTCTGGCCTAGGGTGACGGTCGGCGCCTGGGGACTGCGGAATGCAGCGACCCCGGAACCTCGGCACTCGGGGTCCCGGCGCCCTTCGACCCCGGAAGCCCTTCCGGCGGAACCTGGGCGCCTGGGGCCTTGGGAGAGGGTGTCGCTGGCCCCAAAGTGCCACTGCACTAGTTCTGTTTTCTGTTTCGTAAACAAGCTTTATCGTGCTCGAGTCTCTACGTTAAGTAAGACCTGAGAATCTGACACAAACTCCGCCATTGGTGGGCTGAGCCCAGCAGCATCCAGCAGTTTGCAAGGAATTGCCGCAGCTCTGGACAGTTTTGGGGATTTTTTGAGCTCCCATTTATTGAGCACCCATCCCGCGCTGTTTCTGCTGCTTGAAACAAACAAAAAAATCCCTTATTCAATCCCTTATTCATGGGATCTCGCGATCTCTCTTTTTTTTTTTTTTTTTTTTTTTTTGAGATGGAGTTTTCCCTCTGTCGCCCAGGCTGGAGTGCAGTGGCGCAATATTGGCTCACTGCAACCTCTGCCTCCTGGGTTCAAACGATCTCTTGCCTCAGCCTCCCGAGTAGCTGGGAATACAGGTGCGCGCTACCACGCCCGGCTAATTTTTGTATTTTTAGTAGAGGTGAGGTTTCACCATGTTGTCCAGGATGGTCTCGATCTGTTCACCTCTTGATCTGTCCGCCTCGGCCTCCCGAAGTACTGGGATTAGCGATCTCTATTTTACAGATGAGGCCACAGGCTCAGAGAGGGGAAGTTTCTGTTGATTCTAATAGATGTGTTGGTTGCCCAGGATATGCTGGGGTCTGGGGATGTTTGCCACCCTGCAGACGGCAGGGAGACACAGGGCAACATATCAGCGTCATGATGAGCCCAAGGGTGTCCAGACCAAGGGGTAGAGATGGGGTGGGCTTAGGACAGGGATCTGCTTCCTGAGGCTTAAATGCACCCCAGGGAGAAACTGACCTCTGGCCACAGGGGAGAGAATGGATGGGGAAGCTCCCGAGGGAGAGAGAAGGCTGGTACAGTTGTGGTCCAGGGGAAGGAGGTTTGACTGATGGATTTGCAGGCAGGAGGAAGAAAGTGGAGAAATCAAGGGTAACTTCATGTTTCTGGCTTGGGCACTGGGTGCTGCCATTCATTTGGTGCTGGAGCAGAAAAGGACAGGGAAGTTTGTGCCGAGAGTCATTCATTCAGTGGACAAGTGATGATTGAGTCCTACCTGCACTAGGCACTGCTGAAGGTTCTGGGTATTAGGGTCGGGAGTGGGAATCAATGTTCTGTAGATAGGGTGTGTCAAGGTTAGGCGTTGAAGGGGTAAGTTCCGAAAAGACACCTGATGGAAGGAAGGAGGAAGAGGAGGGAGGGAGGGCTTTCTGCAGGAGCTCCAAACATGGCTGTGAGATGCCCTTGGGTGCCCAGTGATGTCTGAGGGCACCTGGTGTGGAGGATGAAGAGATGGGAGTCTCTTGGTTCCCAAGCCAGAAACGTGAAGTTACCCTTGATTTCTCCACTTTCTTCCACCTGCCTGCAAATCCATCAGACAAACCTCCCTTCCCTGGACCACAACTGTACCAGAATGAGAGAAGCTTCCAAATGCGGAGTGCGGTGGGGGCCCCAGAGCCGCAGATTGAAGACTGGTAAAGGAAAGCTGGTGACAAGTATCTTTGAAAAGCCTCCTACCAGTGTTTAACGTTTACTAGGGTAACATATACACATCAAAGTGCACAAATCTGAAATGAATTTTGTTTTTTACATTTCTAGAAATCAGTGGTAAATTGGAAAATGTCTTAAGTCTTGGCTCCATTGGTGGTGTGGGGGGTGGTGGGGGCTTTGTGTTTGACAATTTCTTTTTTTTTTCTTTAAAGATGGGGTTTCACCATGTTGGTCAGGCTGGTCTTGAACTCCTGACCTCAGGTGATCCACCCGCCTTGGCCTCCAAAGTGCTTGGATTACAGGTGTGAGCCACCATGCCCGGCCTTGTGTTTGATAATTTCTGTGGTGTACATACTCCTGCCATCAAGATCTAGACCATTTCCAGCCCCGCAGAAGTCCCTCTGTGGCCCCCTCCCAACACCTACTCCCCTCCCTCAGAAGTAACTGCTAGTCTTTTTTTTTGGGGGGGGAGTAGGGGAGGCAGGGAACGGAGTCTTGCTTTGTCACCAGGCTGGAGTGCAATGGTGCAGTCTCAGCTTGCTGTAACCTCCGCCTCCTGGGTTCAAGCGATTCTCCTGCCTCAGCCTCCCAAGTAGCTGGGACTATAGGTGCACGCCACCACGCCTGGCTAATTTTTGTATTTTTAGTAGAGACAGGGTTTCACCATGTTGGTCAGGATGGTCTCGATCTCTTGACCTTGTGATCTGCCCGCCTCGGCTTCCCAAAGTGCTGGGATTACAGGCATGAGCCACCGTGCCCAGCCTAGTCTTGCTTCTAACCAGAGATTAGTTTCGCCTCTTTTTACACTTCATGCAAATGGAATCATACAGTACTTAGCTTTTCTTGTTCTTCCATGAATAGTTGATTGGTTTCCAGCTTCTGACAATAATAGAGCTGCAGTGCACAATCATTATGTCTTCTGGGGTTCTCAGAGATGCACCCCTCTTTGTTGTGTATATACCAGGTTCACAGAGCAGCTAACTTAAATTTAAAATCGAACTATGTGCCAGGAATCTCAATCTCTCTCTCTCTCCACAAAGGCACAACCCAAGCAATTTTACCAGGGGTAATATTTGACTTGTTTCTTACAAAATGTTTACATTAGTGTAATGTGTTATTTTAAGGTCTCACTAGTGAAAAGTGGTTGTCCTAACCAAAAGCAAAAAAGGCCAGGTGCGGTGGCTCACACGTGTAATCCAAACACTGGGAGGTTGAGGAAGGAGAATTGCTTGACCTGGGCAACATAGCGAGACCCTGTCTCTAAACAAACAAACAAATACAACAACATCTTAAAAAGGAGAGATTCGATTAATAATTACCCAACACAGCTCCCCGAAGGAAGCTTACGCTTCTCTCTCATGCTTGCTATTGAGCTGATTTTTTTTTTTTTTTTTTTTTTTTTTTTTTTTTTTTTTTTTT